AGCACAGCCAACCCTTTATACACTCGGCTTTCAAACCTCAAAACCCCTACAACAGAACCTGTTCAAGTCCAGAGACTCACATGCACCTTGAAACTCGACCTGAGCATCTATCAACAATCTGTTCGTTACCCAACTGAGGCATCCACTCTCTAGTGTACTAACCCGATCAGCATATCCACGATGAAGGGCTTCCTTCAAAAAGCCAAAGCCGAACTCAAAGGCTTCACTCAACGCGACGAGCCTTGCAACTCAAGATTCGATGGAACCGCTGAGGCACAACATCAACACCACTTTCCTCCAGCTCATCAGCAAGGGCAACAACATGGAATCAGCGACCCGACAACCCTAGATATACTTCGCTACCGCTATCATCACGGCACTAACCTCGGCTCGGTCTACGTCATTGAACGATGGCTTCAGGGCTCTCGATTTCCTGACGGCTCTGAGGGATCAAGCGAGCTTGCAGCAGTACAGGCCTGGGTCGACAAGATTGGCATGGCTGAAACGAAACAAAAGTTCGAAGAGCATTGGGCCAACATCGTAACCGATAACGCCATCGGATGGCTTGCTAATGTAGCCAAATGCACTACCGTCCGCCTTCCCATCGGTTACTACGACCTCCCCGGAGCTGTTTTCACCCAGGGCACACCTTTCGAGCCGTACGCAGGAATATACACTGAAGCATGGAACAGTATCCGCACCCTGATCCAACGCCTGCGTGCACGCTCTATTGGAGTTCTCATCGATCTACATGCATTGCCAGGAGGTGGAAACGCGCAGGAACACTCCGGTACCAACAGTGGGCGTGCTGAACTCTGGACCAGCCATACCAACCGCGCGCTGGGCGTTCACTGCTGCCAATTTATTGCTGAAGACACAAAGGCTGGAGCCGAGATTGCCGGTCTCCAGCTCGTCAACGAGGCTGAGTGGGAATCAGAACGCATGTATGAGTGGTACGACGAATGTATAGCTGCTGTCTCTGCTATCGATCCCGGGATTCCTATTATCATCTCCGACGGTTGGCACCTGGAAAAGGCAGTCGACTGGACCTTGCAAAAGAACTCCATATACTCGCACCCGCAGTGCCCAGTAGTGATCGATACGCACTATTATTGGGCTTTCACAGACGAAGATAAAGCAAAGACACCACAACAAATTACCGAAGAGGCCAGCACCAAGCTTGGGCAGCTCGACGGTAAAGAAGGTTCTGTCCATGACCGTGGTGCAGTACAAGTCATTGTTGGAGAGTACTCCTGCGTTATGACCGAAGACTCTTGGGCCAAGGGCGGCGGGGTCCCCAAGGAAGAGCTCGTGCAACAGTTTGGTCAAGCGCAGAGTAGGCGGTACCAGCAGCGAGCCGGCGGCAGTTTCTTCTGGACCTGGAAGATGGACTGGATGCCTGGTGGTGAGTGGGGCTTCAAAGCTAAAACGGAAGACGGGAGCATTGTGCCACCTCAGTATACAACAATATCCGCTGATGATAGGCGGGGGGTGGTCGAGAAAGCCAGACACGAAAAAGACGGGCGGATGCATGAGGCTGTCCAACAGCACGTGTCTTACTGGAGTGGAGTGGATCCCAACGGTCACTATGAGCACGAAAAGTACGAACATGGTTGGCAAGTCGGATATCAAGACGCTCTCGCCTTCTTTGGGTGCGGAGAAACAAAAGGCGACAAGATTGGCATGTTCGAATTGTGGGTCCTGAAGCGAATTAGAGAGAGTGGATACAGAGGTGGCTTCACTTGGCTTTTCGAGCAAGGCCTGAGGAAAGGTGCGCACGACTGTTCCTCTGCGCTCGGAATCTAAGGGTTTGTGCACGGACGATATGGCTCTCGGTCACGACCGTTTGCTGTTGCTGCCTCAGTCACGAGGTACGTGCTCGGGGTGATGACGTTACGGTCAACAGGCGGACTCGCGACCTTTGTCGGTGGAACGTCTAGAAAAACGACAGAGACAAACATTCAAGCAATGTATGTTGGGCGTACAGTATCACTTTCTCAATGAATTTACCACCTCCCCTCTTCAACCCCCCCTAACTTGATCTCGCGCAATCCCTCAATCTCTAGAAAACGCCAAACCCATGGATCACACCCATTTTACACCCCCTGGAACACCTGAAGAACGGCCTGGCGAGGCGCTGCTTTTACTACATGACACACTCCCCAGGCGGCCTTATCAAGCTTACTGCGTCACCGAAGCCTCTTCACGACCGTCGAGCCCGGACAGGCTTATTCCAAAACCCCTTCGAACATCAACGACACCTATATTGCAGGTATCCATCGACATAGAGCCTGTTGAGACTGAAGACTGCGATCAAAACAACAATTTCACCCAGACAGCGGCAGGCAGTGCTGCGCAGTATGTCGAACCAGCAACATTACGCAGAACGGGACAGTATAGCAAAAGACAAACATTCCCTCCCAATCGAAAGCCGTTGCCGGAGCGTACAAGATCGGGAAATACACCAAATCACATTACACGGGCTGTCACTCCACGCGGAAGCCACTTGTTAGCTCCATCTGAGGTGACGGTGTGCGACCTGCCATCATCACATCCACGGATGCAACAATCGACTCCTTCCAACAACGAATCTGGTCGGACCGGCTCACACAAGCCAATTGAGCAATGCGATGATATTTTGGCTACGTATTCGCGTCCGCTACCACCACTACCGCTCGGGACGGCTTCAGTGATAGGCGAACAACAAGAAATCGGCGCGCGGAGCGCAGAAGTTTACCGAAGTTCGGACGAGCCGGCTCATCCAGAATACTTTGAAGGAGCAAACGAGCTCAATACCCTCGATACTCAGGCGGGACCGCTGTCCAAGGGGAACTGCTACCTCGTTCCACGTCGGCCGTTGCCAGATTTACCGATATACATCAGCCCAGATCATTCGAGTCAAAGAACTGCAGCGCAGAGCGCGTCCTCATCACACGTGGCAGATGGAACCTCATACGACGCCCTCTTTGAGTCGAGCATTAGTGCGCGAGAGCATCGTGTCTCGGGCAGCAATACACAAGAGCCCACGGCTACTGACCCATACGAACCTCGCGGCCACTGGGAAGACATTGACGATGACATGCGAGCACTGCGGCGAACTCAACCCAAAGATGCAAATCTAAAATACCAGTTTGGACAGCTACCATCTTTCAGCTCAGCTTCACCGCCATTGATCTCGCCACTCCGCGGCAATTACCCGCACTCAGTCGGCAACTTCACAAACGCCGCGCCTTCTTTTCATTCGTCGACCGACATTCAAAACGGTCCCAGACCGCCTCCTTGGGGCTCATACGAAGATCTTGAGATGCAACGTCGACAGCGCGGCGATGCGAGAGAGCGCGCAAAAGTTAGAGGTAGCCGTTTGACGGCAGACAGCTCTTCAGTGTACCAGAAGTCAATGTCAACGGACAGCCTGGGTAAAGACCCTTCAAGAGAGGTAGAAGAGTACAGGGAGCAGATACTAGTAGTGTACCCGGATATGGAGTTCAATGGGGAAGCTGGGAGAGGTGATCGAGAATGGTGCTGCTGCGTGTTAATGTGATAGGTACTCGATTCACGATCGCGCTCGGTGGCAATAGCGCCCAGCAGAGGTGCGCGGATTCCGGTCTTGAAGTGGTCGTGGGCAGAAGACTGCAGTTCGTGCTGTCGAACCAGCTGGGCCATCCTTGGAATGACAGATGTCAATCACAGACGCACAGAATCACGGCGATCAATTCAACACATCACCAAAGCTGCAAATCTGCCGACTATATATACCTCGAATCTAGTACTTTATATTTAGACAGCGCGCATCATCATCCACCAACAATACCACACTGCACACGATTCCAAAGAAACACAGGTTCAGGTTTCTTCAACAAGTCCAACTCATCAACTTGAAATCTAACAACACTATTCTACCCCGATCTTCCGTGGCCACACACTCCAGTCTTCACGTATCACTAGCGCATCATACCCAATACGAGTTTATCATCAAAAATGCCTTATAGACTCATGAGTCACGAATGGATCAGGCAGAACAGAAACAAAGCTTTGCCAGCCGGTACTCGACGGCAAATTGAAACAGGACTGATGAACCCGGACTACCAAAAACTTACGAAGGATGAAAAAAAAAAGAGACGAGGAAAGGCTACGAAATCAAGAGAAGCAAAGGCTAGCAGCGGAGAAGAACAAGATAGAGAAGGCTACAGGGAAACCTGCTCATCTGCAGCATGGTCATACTACCAAGAAGTGAGGTTTTGAAGATACGACGTGTTGGTTGTTGAGCCAGTCATGGCGAGTGCGGCCAGAATTTTATTTCGGTTATCGATGGATTCAGTGCTGGTTTGGTTTACTTGCCTGGTGCAAGTGGTTGACTTTTCACAAGCGTATTTTGCAAGGGTTTAGGTCGGTTGCGCAGGCTTGCGCAACTGTCGCTTGTCTATGGGTTGATGTTATAGTACAAATGAGATATATCTTTGAATTGAACTGTCTGAATCGTTGTAATGTGAAAACCAGACTGTTCAATCACTCACAATATTCAGCTCGCGTCAAACCCGAGTCGAAAGAAAGCACTAATAGTCGTTCGTATGCTGGCGAGACGAAGTCATAAGCCAATTTGGCTATTCTGAACTGCTACCATATGTAGTATGCCGCGCGTTTGGTAATCAAGCTCGAAAAAGTGGGTGGTACTGTGTGCCGTCAATTGTTCAAGAATCGACAGGTGGTTGCCAAACAGTGAATGTGCGGCTCTTACATTCCCAACCAGATATTGAAGGCAATCAAGTATCACTGCATGGCAGCTTCAATGACAACAATATGAATGCTCAGTAGGTGTTCCAGACCTGTCACGCAGCAAGGTACATATAGCTAGCAATTATCGCACATCGTCAAGACACATCATAAGAGACAGCCTCGACTACACTAACAATAATCATTACCATTCTACATTCTAAGCCTGGCGCTTGCAACTTACAACCTATCATCTTCATCCAAATTCTCGTAGCACAAACTCGATCAAGATGCATCTTTCATCACAGAAACTCCAGCTCCGCCCTAAACTTACCGCCGTTCTACAGCACTCAAGCAAGAATTCCATTTCCAAGACCCCTGAAGCTTCAACATCAACGAAGCCAGCTAGCAGTATCAACATCAAAGACAAGCGCAACATCAAGATTGGCATCGTCGCCCTCCGTACCGTCAGCAAATGGACCGATAAAGCTGCACTGACGCTCGAGAAGCTCGAAGGTCAAGAGGCATCGAAGCACTGCCAAGACCGCCAGGCGCGCTTGCTCGCAGAAGATGGCAGTAAAGGGTACGGAAAGCAAGTCCAATATACTGGGGTATGGAGAGAGACTGTGGTATACCCGGTACCTGCCCAGGTTGGCAGCACTAGGGGGATCGAAGCACACGAACAGCCCAGAGTGTACGGAGCAGCAGCGCTTTCCAGTAAGGGAGAAAGTCAGATTCCGGCCACCACTGTGGAGGCACCGCTCGTCCAGACTCATCATGCACATGTCTTGGCTTCCGTTGAGGAGTACTATGACGAAAGTAGTGATGACGAGGAGGGTGGCAGTACTTCTAAGCAGATCGGTATCAACAGCTCGACACACGTTGACGCAGATGAAGTTACCGATGAGGAAGATACTTCTGATGATTCCAGCGATGATGAGAAAGAAGATGACAGCGACAACGAGAAGGAAAGCGACACGGACAGCGATGACGACTTGGATAGCGAGGCGCATGATAGCTCTGATGATGTTGAGGATTCGGATGAGGAGGAGATGGAGGCGAAGCATCCTACGATTTTGAATAGTACGAAGTGAGGAGACAGAGGACAGGGGTAGATGCGGGTTAGGTGTTTTGGTTGTGAGGAAGACGCGTTGTCGGATGATGTAGCCTTGGAGGCCATAACTGACGGATATCGACCTAGAGCAGGAGAACTAAGGGTAGATACAGTGACAGCTTAGATGTATCTATACATAAAGTGTTGATGCGTGGTTGTACTGATGCTGCGAGGAATGCGACTTTCAAATACTTCGCCAACCACGAGCACGGAGGTAGACGGAGCTATCCGGAGCGATACATACCATCTCAGATCCTTAAACAGAGCCAAATGATCATGTTTTCCTGTGCTGTCGAAATCTACCGAAGGACCGAAGTAGTATGCGCGTCGGGCAGCATTGGTTCGGCACATATGCCGTAAGGTTTACACAATGACGTACCTGTGTAACTGCAACAAAAAGCCATCGCGAAAACCTCCAAGCAGTTTTTGTTTGTGGAAAGTGTGCTCATCTCTTAGTATACCAACCAATAAGTATCAGCAAAGTGGCAGTAAATGTGACCAGTACAGTAGCCCGACAACAGGAAGTGAGAGCAGGGCACCTGTAGGCTACCAACGGCACTTCGCAAACACCCCATAGCACGTTCCTCATCCCCTCTCACTTCACTTGCACGCCTTTGGCGAGTTTTACGTTTGTGTTTTCATCCCACGTGCGCTCTAGTCCGAAAGTCGCTGATCGGCTTTGCCCTGCATTGTTCGCTCAGTTCGGTCCCACCCACATCCTCCTAGCAACGCCCGCATCCTCGCAGTCAACATCACGACTGTCAATTGCGAAAATGTCAACACACTTTCGCCCGCGCGCGACTACGCCTGGCCCGCCGAGCCCTACACGTCCATCCACGGCGCGCTCCACGATTCGCGCTATCTCGCCGTCGCCGCCACCGAGTTTGGATGAGGCTTCGCGACAGGATTCTGCGACTACTGGGTCACCGAATGTTGATACTCAAACTACATTCGGGGATGCAAAGGTGCGACCAAAGAGCGATGGTTATCCGCGAGCATACGTGCATGGTTCTGGTCATGAAGAGACGGACTTCGCCGACTACACCACAACTCCAGGAAACGGTAACTTCGGAAGCTCTCCCGCAAATATCACTGCCAATGTCACCATCAAGAGAGGCGGCGGAATGATGACAAGGCGGTCACCGGTAAAGCGCGGTTCCAGATCAACAAGTCCGAAGAAACGTCCGTACAGCACACCAACAGAGTTGTCTTCGCATCGCGAGTCGACATCGCGTGACCAAGACGACATGACAGCAACCAACCCGCGAGATGCAGAGATACAAGCTGGTGACTACATCGACAGCGACGCATACACCGACTGCCCAGACACACCCACCCCAATGACAAACTCCCAGAAACGCTCCGCCTATCTCCCGCTCGGAACTCCGACGCCCTTCCCAAAGTCCACGCGTTCTTCGAAGCAAAAATCCAGATCAAGCCTTCCTCGTGCCACCCCTACTACTACGCCCACAGCACCGACGCCAAAGCTCGAGTTCTTTGAATCATTCGACGAGCAACCATCCTATGGCTCTGGGCTTTTCAACACGGATCATCCCCAGATGTCTATTGGGCCAGAAGACAAGCTCATGGCGTTCTACACCCAGACTGAGCGTCGGAAGATGCGTGAACGAGCGCTCGCAAGGGCTGCGCAACCGGAGAGGGCAGTGCCTGGCTCTCAGGCAGGCTACGCGCCAACGTCAGATCACCCAGGAAACGACGCCTTGATTATGCAGCAGCCCCTGCGAGAGGAGGATATTCGTGCGTGCATGCATCTCGCCCCTCCACAGCAGGCCATGGAATCACCGCCTCGGAAGCCTATGTCAGATGCGGCTGGCAACGTAGCGCGACACGTCTCGCCATCCGAGGGCTCATGTGTCTCCGGCGGAACGGTCACTAGCAAACGCTCTGTCTTTAGCACGCCTGGCAGAGACGAGCTCGAAAGGAAGAAGGCGATTGTGGAGACTGACGATGGACCGTTCGCCAAAGCAGTGAGCATGGCAGATCTGAATGAGAGACGCAGGGTAGTCAGTGAGGAGGGAGCACAAGGTGTACGAAGGAGCGAGGATTTGGAAGCAGAGAGCATGCAGAAGAAAAAGAAGGAGGGTAGGACTTGTGGTATGGGTATCGGGTGCAATGTCATGTAGAGATTGTCAAAAAGCTCGGAGATGTTTGTTTAGATTTTGCATCGATGCGATGGAGGAAGGTTCTGAACCGTAATATGAACGACAGCAATGAGTAATGATGAGGCTACTAGTTTGATGCTTAGCATAATATTGTAAAGTAACAATGAAACTGAAACTTCTCTGACGCGTGTGACAGAAGTATATCGCGAACAGACAGTGAATGCGACCACTAGCGAGCGCAACCGCAATACACTTTTGTTTGCCTCTTCGACGTCCAACTCTTCACTCGTACAACCCACTTTGAAGATCGCGACACATTAGCAGCAAAATACCACGCAATGGATGCCGCGCTCGATCGAGTACCAGCGCCGTACATGCTCGACAACCTGACCGCCGACGCGCAGCGAATATCAGCGAGCCTGCCACCGGACGGCTGGGATTCAAGCTCCGCCCTCGTTGGCCTAAAGCGTGACGTCAGTGGGGTATCGGTCGTGGTGAGTAGCACAAGCCCTAGACGGGTAACTTTGTCTGTATCAGCTGCTAACCAAAGGCTCCGTGAAGCCGTCAATAGCTGCGCCGGGCGATGCCAACGATGCAGGACATGCGCGCGGTGGTCTCTTCGCATGGCTCCGGCGATTGATCCGCACCGCTTGTCGTCGCTTCCGTAAACGCCACAAGAATGCGAAAGGCTCCTAGCGAAAGGGCCGGTGGATGTTGAACACTCCTAGCGATCAAAGAATAAGACATTGGTATGTGTAGAATGCGTTTCCGAAAGTCGAGCTAATAGCGCTTCTTAAATGAAGAATCGGCTGCGATGTCGAGTGCCTGTAGGATATCGGTACCGAAGACGACAGTCATGTATGCGGGGAAGATGACCCAGAGACCACTGCGGAGAAAGTTAGCTTTTCTGTCCCTTGTAGTACGAGGTGCAAACAGATGCAGGATATCAGCTTACTTCATGACAAGGTAGAAGACCAAAAGCGTTGCCCAGTCGTTATGGCGAACGTTTGCGAAGCCAGAGAAATACTCATTAAAGTCTACCATCGTTAGCTTGTGTATTGCCCGTGTGTCGCATGTGAACGTACAGTAGAGTACTGTCTTGCTGACTGTCATGACTGCTGCAGCAAACCCGATGATGAGCGCGCGGTTGCCAGTCTTGCCGCGTACCTTCCTGCCGCCAGAGAGGAACTTGCCCACGCCCTCGCTGAGCTGCAGGCCAGTACCTCCAGATGTAGGAACACTGTGGTTGTATATGATCATAGAGTAGAGGCCGTATAGCACAAGCTCCACAGCGTTCAGCATGGCTTGCGCGCCGCCAAACCCATCATGGTTTTCCCATCCGGGCCATCCGTATACATGATCGATCGAAGCGTAAATCTCATACGGCTTCCAGATGGGCCACTGAAGCGCGCCACCAGCCATGGTATGTGGGCGCAGAAGAACATATAGCGTGTCCCATAGCACAAGCGGGATCGAGATGGCAAGCCAAACTATCGTAAGATTGGATGCCGTGTGGCACCACGTCGGCTCATCGATCTCGGATGGAGAGGGAGGGCTGATTTCGGCTTTGGCATTGGAGATTGCGCGCCTCGCAAGCGACTTTGGCGGCGGTGACGTGTTGAGGTCTGGAGAGGTGGGCGCTGGGGACGCGGTCGATGTTCGTGATCTTGGCGTCTTCTTGACGGGTGATGGCTCTGTGGCAGGGAAGTCGCCTTGCGGATGCGAGCGCGTAGACACCATGACGATGAAGAGAGAACAAGACGGCGTGAAGAATCTGGGGTTCAGCAGCAACTGCGAGGAGCGCAATGGAGGGGAGAATGTAACGTGTCGCAATGATGCAAAGGATGCTAGGGAACTAGTGGAGAACGGCTTCTGCTTTAGCCGGGCGGGGCTGTACCTGAGACGGGAAGGCTCGACAAACAGAGTATAGTGCATCTCGCCCTGGCATGCACACATGCAGGCTGCAGCACGATGACAACACACTCATACACAAACTAGAAAATTTCATAGCTCTTTGCTTTAATAGGTAGGGACCGACTGCATACTCCAAGCTAAAACAACACGTCCTCTAATCACTGCTTACCCAGGCATTCCCCTTCGACGAAGCTAGGCTTATGGAATCACCCCAATCTGCCTGAAAACAACGCTTCATCCTTCACTACCTAGGTAGAGACTGCTCAAGAATGCTTGATAGTCCATCTAACAGTCGACTTCCCGATACCAGAGTTGTCGCACTCCGTCTGTCCCTGAGAGGCAACAACACCGCCAGACTTTGTTCATTAGCACACAAACTTGGCACTTCCATGGGAGAGCTGGAACGTACCTGCCATTTGTTGAGGGCAAGCTCAGTGATGTCCGCTATGTTCGAAGACCCAATCCAGGTTTCCTGGATGTTGCGGGTGCCTGCTTCGAAGACACAGGTGCCGTAGTACAAGACACCGTGTGTGTCGGGAGTGTTGTCCCAAACGCCATAGTAGGTGTTCAGGCCGCGGGTATCTGGTGAATGGTCAGTCAGACGCTCTTTTGGCCACAACTACTCTACAGAAGTGACTTCAGAGACTTGGAGGCTTACAGTCACGGATCACCGCACAGTCTGCCGTGTTGGCGAAAGGAGCAGGATGCGGGTCGAGAGTAGTGCCATCACAGGTGTCAGAGTCGGGGGAGCCAGTGAGCAGAGCTCGTGTCGCCACATCGCCGGGGTTGGCAGACACGACTACTGCTGCGCTATTGAGGTAGAGAGTTTTGCCATTGAAGTCGATCGGAATCCATTGAATCGCAGCATTAGCGGCAGAGAGGGGTATTGGAGCTGGAGCCGCAAAGGCCAAAGGAAGCAGAGCCAAGGTAGAAAGACTGAGGA